CCAACACCAGCAGCGCCAACTCCAGCACCCTTAGAAGCACCAGCGCCAACACCCCGAGCAGCTCCAGCTCCAGCAGCTCCAGCAGCACCTACTCCAGCAGGACCGCCAACTCCAGCACTGCCGGCAGCTCCAGTACCTCCAGCAGCACCAGCACCACCTCCAGCACGACCAGCTCCAGTAGCCCTAGCAGCACCCCCAGTCCCAGCAGCTCCTGTACCGCTAGTACGAGCACCTCCAAGACCACTAGCTCCAGCACCTCCAGTGTCGACCCCAGGGTATGGAGCAACACCAACTCCAGTAGACCCAACGCCCTCAGCTTCAGCTCCAGCAGCACCACGGAGGCTGCAACAGTACCGAGAGAACCACTCACGCAGCTGCTCGGAAGAGAGAGCGCCCCCAGGTGCAGCACCCCCAGGCTCAGGACCTCCAGACCTAGCACCCCCAGGGACAGCACCCCCCGGCTCAGCACCTGCAGTCTCTGCACCCCCAGGCTCAGCACCCGCAGTCTCCGCACCCCCAGGCTTAGCACCCCCAGGCTCAGCAATCCCAGATCAGTACCTTCCTGACCAACACGCACCACCAGGCTCAACACGCTCAGTACCTCGCACAGGACCAGAGTCAACAGCTACCTCGACAGGCTCGACCGGGTCTACCTGGGAATCACCTGAGGGAGCAGGACCCTGGGGAGGCAAGGGGACTACCAAGGCAGCACCTAGCGTGAGGAAGAGCGGCGGAGAGGGGAGCATTGCAGTGTGGTAGTGGAAGAGACGGTAGAAGGGGACCGACTCGTTAAAGGTGACGTCTTGGGAGGACAGAACACGGCGCGAGGTTGGGTGGTAAAACTGCCAGCTAGGCGCGTCAGGGGGGAAGCCAAGGAAGACGCAGGGAACAGCACGGGGGACAGCTTGTCCGCAGACAAGTCGCGGACAAAAGCCCGAGATCCCCAGACACGAAACGCAGACGCATCGCCATCCTTCCCCATCCACCGCAGAGTAGGGGAGGTCTCCGACAAGGAGACCTGGGGCTGAAGGTTGATCTGATGCGCCGCGTACTGAACCGCCAACGGCCACAGAAAATGGGGGGCAGCCGCATGCATCATGGACGTACGAGCGACATCCATGACCATGCCAATGCGGTGCTCAGCAATCCCATTTTGCTGTGGAGAGGCCGGAAGTGTGAACGTCTCGCGGATGCCTTGTGCAGGACAGAAGGCTCGCAGAAGGTCAGAAGAAAACTCACCGCCTCTGGCGGAGTGCAGACGCAGAACAGGAAAGCCCGAGCCGAAACTCTCTCTGAGCTGGAGACGAGCTGCGCGGATCCAGTCGATCAACACCTCAGTGACTTCACCCTTGCTGCACAAGGGGAAGACCGTGGTGTAATGCGAGTAGTCGTCAACCACCAGCAGGAAGTAACGCTCGTGACCCTGTCCACGGACGCAGGCGGGGCCCCACACGTCCAGGTGAAGCGTCTGCAGTGGAGCCTCTGTAGGAGGAAACTCAGAGGAGTGAGGAGCGGCGCGCTGCCGCCCCTCGACGCAGGGAATGCAGGTGGGGGCAGGCCCCGGAGGAAGAGGAGTTAGGGACCGGGGGAGACGAGAGACAAGGAAACGAGAGGCCATGCCTCAGAGACGAGGCAAGGAGGGGTGACCAAGGCGGTGGTGCTAGAGGAGAGTCTGGTGAGACAGGAGACGACACGAGCAGGGGGCAGACTCAGGACCAGACCTGGACGCTGCAGCAAACACCTGACATGACGCAGCTACATGACCAGACGCAGCAACTGGAGGAGACTCAGTAGTCAGTGTGTACACGCTCGACCCCGGCTGACGGGTAAATGTGGCCAAGTGTCGGCCCGTCCGAGCACACATACAGTGGGTCACTCGCTGACTCGCAGGAGTGAACTGGTCAACCCCTCAATCCTATAGGTCAGTACCACTCACCAAGTTTGTAGAGAACGAGGGGAGGTAAAGACCTGATAGGGTGCCAGAAGAGGCTGCCGGACACGGTAAGACAGTGGAGAAGTGGGCAAGGACAGGACCCCCAGAGGGGTCTGCTAGGGAGACTGCAACTGGCCGTCTAAGCGGCGTGAGTGTGGTGCGGTCTCGAAAGAAGGAGCGGGAAGCACCCGAGTCAAGGGTGAAGGTGTGCAAAACGTGAGCCGACGTGGTGCCTGAGAGAGCAGACTCACAGGTACCTTGGGCAGCAGACTGACCTGCACCTGGAGCAGGAGACTCACCAGCACCAAGAGCAGCAGGCGCACTAGCTCATAAAGCAGCTGCCTCGCGAGCACTTAGAGCGGCAGCCTCAATGCCTAGGTCAAGCGGAACACACAGATAACAATGACCCTCATCACTAGTAGGCAATGTATACATGGCAGTGCGGAGAGCATCATAGTCAAGAGTATAGATATCTATCCTCTTTCCAAGCAGCTGCACCCAGTCGGGGAGCTCAGCCGCGTCGCCAAACTCAGTACGGGCGTAGTAACGGGACTCTGTGTGACCGAACGTCCCGCAAGGCTGACTAGTTCGAGCACCAGTGCGAAGGACGTACGGACAACGAGCAGTACTCTGTGACCCTCTACTCTGAGCGTACCACTCGCGAAGCTGCAGGGGCGAAAGGGTCTCGCGCGGACGACGCTGCAGCTGCACCTGGCCACTACAAGAAGCTCCCGAACTACTCACGTCAGGACGACTCCCACTACGGCCACCCCGACAACCCCAACTAGTGTACCACTCACGAAGGTGCTGGGGCGTGAGGGACTCACGCGGACGTCGCTGGAGCTGCAGCTGGCCACCGCTAGGAGAAGTAGTAGTAGTAGTAGCCGCAGTAGCAGCACTAGCAGCAGTAGCAGTAGTAGTCGCAGTAACAGCAGTAGCAGTACTAGCAGCGCTGCCACCCCTACAACCCCAACTAGCGTACCACTCACGCAGCTGTTGGGGCGTGAGGGACTCATGCAGACTGCGCTGGAGCTGCATTTGGCCACGCCAGGAGCAGCAGTAGCAGTACAAAGAGTAGTAGCAACAGTGCTCACTAGTGGCAAGAAGGGCAGGTGTACGACAGCGGCAATTGCGAGGCCGCTACCACTGCAGGGTGAGGGCTCCGCGGCTGCTGCAGGGGCTGTTGCTCCAGGGGCTAGGGGTGGCTGGTGCAGGGGCAGCTGCTCCAGGGGCAGCTGCTCCAGGGGCCAGGGCGCGCCACGGCGGGCAGCGGCGGCGGCGGCTGACACGGCAGCGGTGACGGCAGGCTGATGTTGTCGGCAGCGGCGGCGGCTGCTGCTGTCGGTGGCCGCGGCTGCTGCTGTCGGCTGCGGCGGCTGCTGCGGCCGGGGCAAGGGCGACTGCGGCTGACACGGCAGCGGCGGCGGCGGCTGCTGTTGTCCGCGCCAGCGGCGGTTGCTGCTATCGGCGGCAGCGGCTGCTGCTGTCGTCGGCTGACACGGTAGCGGTGGCGGCGGCTGCTGTTGTCGGCGGCGGCGGCGGCTGCTGCTGTCGACGGCGGGGGCTGCTGCTGTCGACGGCGGCGGGGTGGCAGGGCCGTGAAGGGGCCACGAAGGGGCCGCTAAGGGCGGCAAAGGGGCCGATAAGGGGCCGCGAGGGGCCACTTAAGGGGCTGTGAGAGGGGCCGCGAAGGGCCGCAGAGGGGCCGCGAGGGAGCGGCGAAGGGGCCGCGAGGGGCCGTGAGAGGGGGCCGCTACGGGGCCGTAAGAGGGCGCGACGGGCCGCAAAGGGCAGAGGACTAAGAAACTCTCATACTATACTCTGTGTAGGCTGTAGTGGGGTAGACTATATGGGGTACAACACTTCTAGGTTTTCCTACTTGTACCCACCTGCTTGCTAGTTTATTCATTCCTCATTCTTCACATGGTATAGAGCAAGTTCCCTAGTGGGAACGCTTCCTTGGGCCCACCACTAAAAATTTCCTTTCTTACTGGAGCGCCTGTCGCTCCTGCCCGAGGCGCGCCTTTTTGCCGCCCTTTCTAGGCCCCTAGTGGCCCCTAGCGGCCTCAACGCCGCCCCTCACGCGGCCCCGTTACCGCCCCTACGCGGCCTTGTCGCCGCCCTTAGCGGCCCCGTCGCCGCCCCTAGCGGCCTCGTCGCCGCCTCTCACCCTACGCGGCCCCGTCGCCGCCCCTACACGGCCCCGTCGCCGCCCCTACACGGCCCCGTCGCCGCCACTCCGCGGCCCCGTCGCCACCCTTAGCGGCCCCATCGCCGCCCCTAGCGGTCCCGTCATCGCCTCTCACCCTACACGGCCCCGTCGCCGCCCCTACGCGGCCTCGTCGCCGCCCCTAGCAGCCACGTTGCCGCCCCTATCGGCCCCGTCGCCGCCTCTCACCCTACGCGGCCCCGTCGCCGCCCATACGCGGCCCCGTCGCCGCCCCTAGCGGCCCCGTCGCCGCCCCTACCGGCCCCGACGCCGCCTCTCACCCTAAGCGGCCTCGTCGCCGCCCCTAAGCGGCCCCGTCGCCGCCACTAAGCGGCCCCGTTGCCGCACCTACGCGGCCCTGTCGCAGCCTCTAAGCGGCCCTGTCGCTGCCAGTACACGGCCCCGTCGCCGCTCCCCTCCCTAAGCGGCCCCGTCGCCGCCCCTAGCGGCCCCAACGCCACCCCTACCAAGCAGCCCAGCAGCAAAGCCGCCGAGCCGCCCAGCAGCCGAACCGCCGAGCCGCTCGACAGCCGAGCCGCCCAGCAGCCGAGCCGCTGAGCAGCCGAGCCGCCCTGCCGTCGAGCTGCTCCTCGTCCTACCGGCGCGCCCCTGCCCTACTTACTCGGACTAGTGAGCTCACTCCTTGCTAGGCCACTGCAGTCATGGCTACCCCCAGTGTTGTTACCTTTGATACTGAGGGTCGTGCTGTTGAATTTGAGGTCGGGGTCGATGACCTCCAGCTATTCCTCCAGTGCGATAGGGCAGACGGCCTCTCCCTGTTCGACCTCACCTCTGGTGCCTCCCCTGCTCCGCCAGCAACTACTTACAGCACTATTCGCTCATAGTGGGCGACACACGATGCTGCTGCCCGTCTTGCTATGCGTCGCCACTTACCGACCACTGAGCGTGCACACTTTAGCCAGTACAAGAGTGCTCAGACCTTGTACGACGCTGTAGTTGCACGCTACTCTTCCCTTGCTAGTGCTGCACTAAGCCGCCTCATGCTACCGTACCTCTTCCCTGACCTTGCTGCCTTTCCCACAGTCGCTGACCTTATTACGCACCTCCGCACTAGTGACACTCGCTACCGCGCTGCGCTTCCTACTAAGTTCTACGCCAAGAACCCCCCCCCCCATGTACATCACCCTCTACTACATAGTCACCCGGCTCCCTGACTCTCTTCACTTAGTCAGGGACCACTTCCTCTCAGTTTGCCCCACCACACTCACCGTTGACCAAGTGCCTCCTAGCAGCAGAGAAGAGCATAATCGCTGTAGGAGCCTCTCGTGGTGACCCTCGCACCCCCGTCTCTGAGGGGTGTTCCCCCTCTCCCCTCTTGCCCTCTGTTGCTTCTGCTGCTGCGGCCGACCTCGTTGGTTTCTACGGGGTCGGCGCTGCGTCTGCCCCTAGCGGGAGACGCCGCACCGGAAGGGCAAGGGGGGCAAGGGAGCTGGAGGGGCTAGCGGGGGCGGTGGAGGTGGTGGTGGAGGTAGTGGAGGGGGTGGCGGTGGTGGTGGGAGTGGTGGCGGGGGTGGCCGCGGTGGTGGCAGCAATGGAGGCGGAGGAGGCGGCGGTGGTGGCAGAGGGAACGGAGGCGGCGGAGGTGGCGGAGGCGGTGGAGGTGGCGGAGGCGGCGGCGGCGGCGGCGGCGATGGAGCTGGTCGCGACTCTGCGCAGAGGAGTGGGTTCATTGGTGGTCCAGCGCCAGCAGCAGCAGCAGAGTCGTGAGACCTTGTCCCCTCAGCAGCTTCGTGAGTGGTACGCTGCGCGTTAGGGTGGTGAGGGAACTGGTCCTTGCACTTACGTCCTCTGTACCAGTGACCGCGCTGGTGAGCACTGCGGGGGCCCGCACTCCACCCAGCGCTGCTTCGGTCGCCTGACGGACGCGTGGCGTCACGAGTTCCCTGAGGCGTCAGAGATCCCTTGCTAGGGAGATCTGTCTAGGGCGGGGGTTGCCATCTTTGATCTTGAATATGATGCTATCCTTACTGCCATGTATGCTGTGTCTACTAGTGCTGAGGGTGACTGTTACCTGTGTGTACCGCCTGACCCGGGCATTGAGGCTACTGCTCTAGGTGTTGGTGAGGCTGCTGCTCTAGGTGCTAGTGCGCCTGCTGCCCAAGGTGCTAGTGCGTCTGCTGCCCCAGGTGCTGGTGAGTCTCCTCTCTCAGGTACTACGTCGGCTCAGGCCTTACACACCTTCACCCTTGACTCGGGTGCTTCCCGCTCCTTCTTTCGAGACCGCACCACGCATACGCCGCTTAGTCGGCCGGTTGTAGTCTCCCTGGCGGACCCCTCTGGGGGTCCTGTCCTTGCTAGCTTCTCCACTGTCTTACCGTGCCCAGCACCCCCCTCTGGCACCCTGTCAGGTCTCTACCTCCCCTCGTTCTCTACGAACTTGGTGAGTGGAGCGGACCTACAGGATAGGGGGGCTGACCAGTTCACTCCTGCGAGTCAGCGGGTGACCCACTTCACGTGTGCTCGGACAGGCCGACACTTGGCCACGTTCACCCATCGGCCAAGGTCGAGCCTGTACACCCTTAGCACTGAGTCTCCTCCGCCTGCTGAGTCTGGCCAGGTAGCTGCGTCGAGTCAGGTGTTTGCTGCAGCGTCCAGGTCTGGTCCTGAGTCTGCTCCCTGCTTTTGTCGTCTCCTGTCCTACCAGACTCTTCTTTGGTACCACCGTCTTGGTCACCTCTCCCTGCCTCGTCTCCGAGGCATGGCCTCCCGTGTCCTTGTCTCTGGTCTCCCCGGTCTCTTCCTCCCCTACATCTGGGGCCTGCCCCTACCTGCGTCCCCTGTGTCAAGGGGCGACAGCGCGCCGCCCCTCACTCCTCCAAGTTTCCTCCAAAAGAGGCTCCGCTGCAGACTCTCTACGTGGACGTGTGGGGCCCCGCCCGCGTCCGTGGACTGGGGCACGAGCGTTACTTCTGTTGGTGGTTGACGACTAGTCGCGTTACACCACAGTCTTCCCCTTGCGCAGCAAGGGTGACGTCACTGAGGTGTTGATCGAGTAGATCCGCGCAGCTCGTCTCCAGCTCAGGGAGAGCTTCGGCTCAGACTTTCCTGTTCTGCGTCTGCACTCTGACATAGGCGGAGAGTTTTCCTCTGCCCGTCTGGGAGCCTTCTGTCGTGCACAGGGCATCCGCCAGACCTTCACGCTTCCGACCTCTCCACAGCAAAATGGGATTGCTGATCGCCGCATTGGCATGGACATGGACATCGCTCGTACGTTCATGATCCATGCGGCTGCCCCCCATTTTGTGTGGCCGTTTGCGGTTCAGTACGCAGCGCATCAGCTCAACCTTCAGCCCCGGGTCTCCTTGCCAGAGACCTCCCCCACCTTGTGGTGGACGGGGAAGGTTGGCGATGTGTCTGCGTTTCAGGTCTGGGGATCTCGGGCGTTTGTCCGCGACTTGTCTGCGGACAAGCTGTCCCCCAGTGCTGTTCCTTGCGTCTTCCTTGGCTTCCCCCCTGACGCGCCTGGTTGGCAATTTTACCACCCCACCTCGCGCCGTATTCTGTCCTCCCAGGACGTCACCTTTGACGAGTCGATACCTTACTACCGTCTCTTCCCCTACCGCATTGCGCCCCTTCCCCCGCCGCCGCTCTTCCTTGCGCCAGGTCCTCCGCCGGTAGACCCCCTCCCCCCTCAGGGTCCTGTCCCGTCAGGTGTGTCCCACGGTAGACGCAGTCGAGCCTGTCGAGGTAGCTGTTGACTCTGGTGCTGCTAGAGCTGCTGAGCCTGTGGGTGCCGGGTCTGGAGGTGCTGAGTCTGGGGGTGCTGAGCCTGGGGGTGCTGAGTCTGGGGGTGTTGAGCCTAGGGGTGCCAAGTCTAGGGGTGCTGAGCCTGGGGGTGCCTAGTCTTGAGGTGCTGAGCCTGGGGGTGCTGAGCCTGGGGGTGTAGAGCCTGGGGGTGCGGAGCCTGGGGGTACGGAGCCTGGGGGTGCTGGGTTTGCTCGTGTGGCCGCCGGCGATGCTTCGTCGAGGCGGGAGCCACTCTCTCCACAGGATCTGCGCTAGTGGTTTGCCCGGCGCTGGAGCCGTGCTGCTGGAGCTGGAGGTACTACTGTTGCTGCTGGTCTCGAAGGGGCCCGTCCTGACGGTTTTGGAGCTGCTGGGACTGGTGGTGCTGCTGGGGCTGCTGGAGGTACTGCTGGAGTTGCTGGCGGTACTGGAGCTACCGGTCCTGCTGGAGGTGGTGCTGCTAGAGCTGGAGCTGCTAGGGGTGTTGGCGCTGGTGGTTCTGCTGGCGCGAGGAGTTCAAGTGTTTTGCTGCTGCTTTGCCTCATCTCGTGTCCACGGTGATTGCCCCTTAGGGAGACCCGGATGCACCAGACATCCCGACTCCTCGATCGTACGCTGAGGCGATCGAGGGTCCCTACTCCTCTCAGTGGTAGTCAGCCATGGACGCAGAGATGGCTTCCTGGAAGTCCACAAGCACCTACGTCGACGAGGTTCCCCCACCTGGGGCGAACATCGTCAGTGGCATGTGGATTTTCAGGGTGAAGCGGCCGCCGGGTTCTCCGCCTGTCTTCAAGGCGCGTTACGTGGCTCGAGGCTTCAGTCAGCGGCAGGGAGTTGACTACTTTCAGACCTTCTCTCCCACCCCGAAGATGACCACTCTTTGGGTGCTGCTGCACATAGCCGCTCAGCGCGACTACGAGCTTCACTCTCTTGACTTCAGCACAGCTTTCCTGCAGGGCAGCCTGCACGAGGAGATCTGGCTGCGCCGCCCACCTGGCTTCTCTAGGTCGTTTCCCCCTGGTACTGAGTGGAGCCTCCGGCGGCCAGTCTACGGTCTCCGCCAGGCGCCCCGTGAGTGGTACGACACACTGAGGACTACACTTGCGGCTCTTGGGTTTGCTCCTTCTACAGCCGACCCGTCGCTGTTTCTGCGCATCGACACCTCTTTGCCGCCGTTCTACGTCCTCGTGTACGTCGACGACTTGGTCTTTGCCACAGCTGGTACTCGCCCACGTGAAGTCTGAGCTGCAGAAAAGACACACGTGCACAGACCTGGGTGAACTGCGCAGTTACCTTGGCTTGCAAATCACCCGGGACAGAGCACAGCGCACCATTACCCTGAGTCAGTCATACATGGTGCAGCAGGTCCTTCAGCGCTTTGACTTCACGTACTCCTCGCCTCAGGCCAGTCCTATGTCTACTCGCCACTCGCTCTCAGCTCTGCCTTTGGATGAGTCCGTGGAGCCGAGTGGCTTGTACCCAGAGCTTGTTGGCTGCCTCATGTACCTGATAACCTTCACACGACCTGACCTTGCATACCCTCTTAGCATCTTGGCACGCTATGTTGCTCCTGGGAGACACCGACCAGAGCACATGGCTACAGCGAAGAGGGTGTTGTGCTACTTGTGCGGTATGCCGGGCATGGGGCTAGTGCTTGGAGGGCGACGTCGAGTGGTCCTCACAGGTCACGCTTGTCAGATTATAATGCATGTCTAGTCTGTAGTGGGGTACTCAAAAGTGAGTATATCCCTTTTGGGCTTGCTATTTGTATCCCTCCTTTTTCTAGTTCAATCATCCTCCTTACACCCTACACCCTCGAACTTCACCAAGTCTCCTAAAACTACTATGGCTCCTAAGCCAAACTCACGCTAGATTCTTAACATGCTATTAGAGCTTAAAGCTCCTGGCCTGTGGGCCCACTTGCTTCCGCTGCCCTACTGTGTGTCGCGCGCCCCGTGGCGCGCAGCATTCTATTTTTCTTCCCGCCACGCGCTCGGAACGCGTGGCGGGTTTCTGCCCGCCGTGCGCCCCGAGGAGAGCGGCGGGTTCCTACTTCGTCGCGGCGTCCTGGGAGCCTGCGCACTGGCCCCGACCGTTGCCTCGTCACGGCGTTTTGGGGGCCCGCACGCAGGCCCCTCCCGTTGCCTCGTCGCGGCACTTTCGGGGCCCGTGAGCCGGCCCCTCCCGTTGCCTCGTCGCGGCGCCTTAGGGGCCTGCGCGCGGTCCCCTCCCGTCGCCCGTCAAGGCACTTTTGGGGGTGTGCGCGGCTCCCTAGCACGTCGCCCGTCAGGGCACCCTGGGGGCCGCGCCCTTCCCCTCCTTTCCCTGGAGGAGCAGCCCCAGCAGCAGCAGCAGCCCCTGGAGCAGCCGCCCCTGGAGCAGCAGCCCCTGGAGCAGCCGCCCCAGCAGCAGCAGCCGCCCCGGCAGCAGCAGCCCCTGGAGTAGCCGCCCTAGCAGCAGCAGCCCCTGGAGCAGCCGCCCCAGCAGCAACAGCCCCTGGAGCAGCCGCCCCAGCAGCAGCAGCCCCTGGAGCAGCCGCCCCAGGAGCAGCAGCCCCTGGAGCAGGCGCCCCAGCAGCACCAGCAGCCCCTGGAGCAGCCGCCCCAGCAGCAGCAGCCGCCCCGGCAGCAGCAGCCTCCGGAGCAGCCGCCTCAGCAGCAGCCCCTGGAGCAGCTGCCCTAGCAATAGCAGCCCCTGGAGCAGCCGCCCAAGCAGCAGCAGCCTCTGGAGCAGCCGCCCCAGCAGCAGCAGCCCCTGGAGCAGGCCGCCCCAGCAGCAGCCGCCCCTGGCTCCTGCATCAGCCGCTCCTGGACCCGGTGCAGCCGTGGGGGGGTGGGTGTGGGGGTGATGGTTGTGGGGGTGTCGGTTGTGCGTGCCGTCCCCTCCTTCTCCTCCTCCTTTGTCTCCCACTGCTGCAGCTATCGGTGAGGGGAGTGGATGTGTGGGAGTCTGGGGTTTAGGGTTTAAGGGGGTGCTGTCGGTGTAGGGCTAGGGTTTGAGCAGGGGGTGTGTGAGAGGGGCGTTGGGCAGCTGGGGGAGGTTGAGTGGAGGCAACAGTCTTGTCGTCAGCAGCACCAGCAGTCCGGAGGCTACAATCTCCGGTAGTCGCCAGTCGCCTGTGGGTCAGTTGCTCGTCTGCCGCTACTTTTAGCCGCGGAGCCAGTTACTCCTGTAGTCAGGGCCTTTGCTTCGGTAGCCACTGAGCCAGCAGCTCGTCTGTCTGTCTGCAGCGTCAGCAATCGCCTCCCATCTACTCTCCCCCACAGTCTCTCCTCCTCCTCACTTGCCCTCTGTGATTAGCCCTAGCCTTACTTACCTATTGTGAACTCTTGCTCTATGCCTGCATGCTGTACTGATTATACCCCACTTTGACTATGGGGGTGTGTCATATTATAATGCATGTCTAGTCTGTAGTGGGGTACTCAAAAGTGAGTATAACCCTTTTGGGCTTGCTATTTGTATCCCTCCACTTTCTAGTTCAATCATCCTGCTTACACCCTACACCCTCGAACTTCACCAAGTCTCCTAGAACTACTATGGCTCCTAAGCCAAACTTACGCTAGATTCTTAACAACGCTGACGCTTCTTGGGCTGACGACCAGGCTCTGCAGCGGTCGTCACAAGGTTACACCTTCAGCCTTGGCTCCGGCTTCTGTTTCGTGGCGGTCTACCCGCTCGTCTTCTGTTCTCGGCTCCAGCTGTGAGGCTGAGATCTACGCAGGGGCCATGGCTGCACAGGAGCTACGCTGGCTCACCTACCTGCTGACTGACCTAGGAGAGCCGCCTCGTTCTCCTCCAGTTCTGTACGTAGACAACAAGGCCATGCTGGCCTTGTGTCGGGAGCACAGACTGGAGCACAGAACGAAGCACATTGCTCTTCGCTACTTCCTTGCTCGTGAGCTGCACCAGTGTGGTCAGCTGCGCCTTGCTTACATGGCCTCTGAGGCCAACACTGCTGATATCTTCACCAAGGCACTTCCGCCTTGTGATCATCAGCGCTTTTGTACGTTGCTAGGTCTTGTGCCTACTTGGCCTCGCTTGCTCACTTCTTGACCTTGCTTGTACTGTGATGGTTTTATACCTGCACTTGCTTGTTTACCTATATATATCTGATCTTGCATGTGAACTAGCCTTATGGCCTTTGCTCTTGTGCTCGGACTGTGTTGTGACGTTGTGATCCACCCTGAGCTTGCTTTG